CATCATGGAGGATCGAGAAGCAACAATGGCACGCTTCTTGAACGGACTAAGGCCCGAAATCGCTGACCAAGTAGAGTTACACCACTATGTGGAACTTGGGGATCTGGTGGAAAAGGCCATCAAGATTGAAAGGAGGATTAAGAGGAGGGGTTCGACTCGGAGTTATTCCAACTTTTCACCCTCTTATCTCCGAACTACACCACCAAAGAAAGAGGATAAAGGGCCGAGTAATTCCATCCCTTCAAGACCGAGGCCGGATATGACTAAGTGGGAGTCTAAGGCAACACCCAAAGACTGCCATTGAGTCGAGCATGGGGCGAAATCGAGATACTAGATGCTTCAAATGCCAAGGCCGAGGGCATATTGCTAGCCAATGCCCGAACCAACGCACTATGATCATCTTACCCAATGGTGAGTTTTTCACCGATGATGAAGATGAGAAGGAGGAGTTGCCATCCCTTGAGGAAGAAGAGGAAGAAGAGGAAGCATTACCCATCGATGAACGAGTTGGACTCGTTGTCAGACGAGCCTTAGCAACCCAAGTGAAAGCTGCCGACCATGCACAAAGGGAGAACATTTTCTACACCCGTTGCTATATCAAAGGCAAGGTATGTAGTTTGATCATAGATGGAGGTAGTTGTGCTAACGTCGCTAGTGCCTTGATGGTGGAGAAACTAGCACTACCCACTCTACGACATCCAACACCTTATCGTTTGCAATGGTTGAATGATAGTGGGGATGTTCGTGTGACCAAGCAAGTCCAAGTACCTTTTCGAATTGGAAAGTATGAGGACGTGGTGTTATGCGACGTGGTCCCTATGCAAGCATGTCACATACTATTGGGGAGACCATGGCAATTTGACAAGGGAGTTACATTCGATGGCATTACCAATAAATACTCCTTCAAGCAAGGCGAGAAGAGGATTGTGCTTGTGCCACTCACTCCTATCCAAGTTCGTGAAGATCAAGAAAGCCTGAACAAGGAGAGCGAGCTTGAGAATGAGAAGAAAAAAATAGAAAAAATCGAGAGCTCAACAGGAAATGATAAGGCTGAGAAAATTGAGAGGAAAAAGACATATAGTGAGCCGGCCAAAATTGAAAAGAGAGAGAAAAGGCAAAGTCTATTGATAAAAGCCAATGTAGTAAGAAAAGCTTTGAGTGTTAATACACCCATCTTTGTACTTTTGTGCAAAGAGGTGTTGGTTGTTACAAGTGATCTTACTAACACTCTACCATCTAGTATTGTCTCTCTTTTGCAGGATTATGAGGATGTCTTTCCCGATGAGATTCCAAATGGACTACCACCAATAAGGGGAATTGAGCATCAAATTGACTTGGTTCCAGGTGCCCCACTTCCTAACAGACCAGCCTACAAAATGGGTCCAGATGAGACAAAGGAGCTCCAACGCCAAATCGAAGAGCTTCTAACAAAGGGATGGGCACGAGAAAGCTTGAGCCCATGTGCGGTTCCTGTCATCTTGGTGCCTAAAAAGGATGGAAGTTGGCGAATGTGCACTGACTGTAGGGCTGTTAATGCAATAACGAAATTACATGAGCAGGTACGCCTAAACATTGAGGGAAGGATGGACCAAGTTGCTCAACGGGTTAACAAGGGACGCCAACGCATTGTGTTTGAACCTGGTGACTGGGTGTGGTTACATCTACGCAAGGAAAGGTTCCCAGTCCAAAGGCGCAATAAATTACTTCCCCGAGGAGATGGGCCGTTCCAAGTCATCAAGCGCATCAATGACAATGCTTAAAAACTGGGCCTACCCGGTGAGTACAATGTGAGCGCTACATTCAATGTCTCTGATCTATCTCCTTTTCTTGCAGACGATGAAGCTGATTTGAGGACAAATCCTTTTGAAGAGGAGGGGGATGATACGAACCAAGAGACACCATTGCGAACTATTCGAGTTCCCCTAGGACCCGTAACTCGAGCACGAGCTAAGAAGATGAGGGAGGAACTCCAAGGACTTGTTCATGAGATACAAGGCCAAGAAATTGTCCCAAGGTCATTGAGGGACTTGAGCATGAAGGAATGAAAGTCATCCATGTAGTGCACGTCAAAGAGAACCATGTGTGACCCTTCTCTAGTCACATTTGCTGTTTTAGTTAAGTCATTGTAATAAGGGCTTAATGGTCCATAGCCTTGCTTTATTTACCTAAGCGATGACCTCATAAGGTTATTTACCTAAGCGATGACCTCATAAAGTTGTTTACCTAAGGGATGACCTCATAAGGTTTGGTCAAGCCCACAATTCTTAGTCTTATGGAAATAGTCAAGCCTACAATTGTTAGTCTTAGTCAAGACCACAACTCTAGACTAGTTCCACATTTAGTTGTTCATCTCTATGTAAGGCTATAAATAGCCTACACTTCCAATGGTTTTGGCATTCAATCAATAAATCAGATTTTGAGAGTTTTCTTGGTTTCTCCAAGGCTTCTTGAATACCTTAGAATTTCTCTAGGTGTTCGTGACTTATCAATCTAGAATCGCACTAGGTTGTGGCGTCTTCTACCATTATACCAAGGTTCGTTAACCACGTGATTAACGGGTTGAGGTCATCCGCTTCAAACTTGGTGTCCTCTTGTCGATTCTGAAACTAATCTTTTACGGGTTTCGTCACAAGGTTGGCGACGTTCGTATCAATGTTGGTCTTGGAGAACTCGAACGAGGGCTTGGAGGGATTCTTTAAAGAGCTTGGCCTGTGTACGTGTGACTGGGCCCAATGAAACTCGGACGGGGTCATTGCGTGGGCCTGATCCATGCACACATCATTTTCTTTTCATTTCTATGTTTTTTTGACTTAAAGAACAACTCAAAGACTTGGCCGAATGAGTAAAATTCCAACAATCTGGTCGGCTCTCCAATGCACTCCTTCGATCCTCCAAGAACTAGCAAGATATGTTTCAAGGTAGTAACCAAGAACTTCAAGAACCGTAAAATCTTGTAGATTCTCTTCAAGATTCTCAACCCCAAAAGTTTACCAAAAATCAGTTTAGGAAATTAACTAAAACGACTTGGACTGCACCAAGTAAACTTGGACAGACTTGGAAACAAAAGACTCTTGCGCACAAACGAAACCCTAACCGCCAAAAGCAAACCCTAGCCGCCAACTCACTTGTTTTCTTGTGGTTTCGGCTTGGATGACTTGGACAGAATTTTGGTGCAACAAGCGACAGATTTGCCACAATAATGACTCAATACTAAAGACAATTTACGGCCAGAATTTGATGTGTGCACGGACCTCAGCCCACGTAATGACCCAGTCTAAGTCTCATTGGACCCAGTCACACGTGCACGAGCCAAGCTCTTCAAAGAATCCCTCCAAGACCTTGTCCGAATGGTCCAAGACCAACATGGAGTCCATAGAGATATTGAAGGCCTAGAAGAAGACAAGCAAGTTATCTACACTATGATCTAAGCCCATGAAGAGTCAAGTGGGCCTCCAAGTGAGTTGGCCGAATAGGGCTTTAGGCCTTAGTGTTTACTTAGAGTTAGATTAGTTGCTTTAATAGAGCATGGGCCGGCCCATCTTGACCTCAAGATGGCCGAATGCTTCCCTTAGGGTTTTTAGGATTTTTAGTAACCTTTAGCCTATAAAAAGGCTAGCTTTGTAAGGCTTGAGAGTAGACGTTTTATCAATAAAACTTTTGATTATTTTCGATTCTTCTTAGTTAGAATTCGAGCCTTTACTTGCTCTTGGCAAGGGAGTTGATCAATCTTGCGTCTGTCTTTGATTGTTCTATCGACCTATCCATTGGAGTATCCACCTTCCATTGGAGTCGTCGTTTTACCACCTCTAATCAAATCGTGTCCACCTCTAATCCAAATGTTGGACCGCCTCACTAGATCCTTAGGCAAACGTGCTACGTGTCTCGAAACAAATTGATCGAGGACCGTATCAGTTGGTATCAGAACCAGGTTGAGGTATCTTCCGTTATATTCGTTGTTTTTGTCTTTATTTGTCATCTAGAATTCCTTGTTTTTGCTGCTGTGTTTAAAAAAAAAGAACATAAAGTTTTGTCTGCTTGTTGTGTATCATCGTTTCCTTTAATTCTGTCCGGCATTCGTTGTTGCTTCGTTGCTGTCAAATCTGTTCGGTGTTTTGTGTTTTGTTGTCCACTAGATTCTGTCCGTAGTGTTGTCCTTTCACCATTCAAAAAAAAAACGATTGCTATCTGCACTTTCATTCTTGCGTCGCTAAATTTCTGTTTGGTTCGTGTCTCTTCGTTGTCAAATAATTCTGTCCTTGTAGTTTCGTGTCCTTGTTGTGTCAATTACTAGTTCATTGTGTTGTGTCAAATCTGTCTTGGTCGTTAGTTTTTGCCCAAGCAACCAAAACAAAACAAAAGAAAAAAAAAAGAGAAGACCACGCGTGCGGCAGCTAGGGTTTCACTCTTGTCACGAACGTTGAGTGCAATCTGTCCACGGGTTGAGAACACTTGTGGCCTACAAAAAGTCTGTTTTGAACTTACCCAAACCTGTTTTGCTCACGGAGTGTCTTTTGGGCAGCAAGAAAGTCGGCCTTGTGACGACTAGGGTTTCCTTCGTCATTAGGGTTACGTGGGCGCAAGTCTGTCCAAGTTTGCGTTGCTTCATCCATGTTGTTTTACTTAACTTTCTAATCTGATTTGGGTTAAAACTTGTTGGTGTTGTGAAATCTTGAAGAGAATCCACAAGATTTTAGGGTTTCTTGAAGTTCTTGGTTACTACCTAGAAGTTCTTGAAATTCTTGAAAGTATCTTGCTAGTTCTTAAGGGATTTGGGTTGTGTGTTATTGGGAGTTGAGGGCCTGACTTTATTTCTGGAATTTTACTACTTTAGCTGAGTATTTGTGTTGTTCCTTAAGTAAAAAAAAAGGGTTAAATACCAAAAACCACCCTGTGGTTTGACTAATGTTCTTTTTTTTTTTTTTAAATGCGGGCTGCACTACCCTTTTATTGATTCGAAATAAAACAATACAAGACTGGAGAAGTGCACAAGACAACCCCAGTCAAGAGCGAACCGGTGGACACCGCCTACGATACCTAAAGCTACCAATTCCCAATCGGTCAACATTGAACACACCTCTTACAACTGTAGGTAAAGAACGGATGGAATGAAATAGAGAGAATTGCTTCGTGTCACCACCAAATAATGCCAATGAATCAGCAACTGCATTGCCCTCTCGATAAATATGGTTATATGAGAGCGTCCTAACCGTGACCTGGTCAATACGGCGCAATATTGCTGCCACAGACGCCGGACAGCCACAACTCCCCTGTACAGCATCAATCACCACTTTAGAATCACCCTCAACCAACAGCGCCGTTACATCCAATAGCGTACATAATTCCAACCCCGTACATAACGCCCTAGCCTCAGCCTGCAGAGATGTCACACCTGTATATCCCTCTGAAAATGCAAATATCATTCGGCCATTTGAATCCCTCAAAATCCCCCCGCCCCCTCCCTGCTGATCCACCAACGACCCATCAAATTTTAGTTTACAAAATCCTTCTGGCGGGCGTATCCAGTGAACATATTGCGCTTGTATTGGCAGATGCATTTGAGTTAGCTGATAAACAATGGTTGGCCAACCTTTTCCTAGACACTGCCGTTGGAGAACTGGGAACTTTGAATTCAACAACTCCTTTAGATCAACTAAGATCCTGTGTGAAAGGATATCCACCGTTAGTACTTGCCCCTCATATACAAACCTACACCGCGCACACCATAAATGCCATAAGATTACCGCAGGCACCACCCGCGTGAGCCACCGCAGTATCTAGTTCGAAGGCATACTAAACCACCAACACATGCATCTATCCCGCACCAACCTTCCAAGGGAGGAGAAACCAAATGGCATTTCGAAGAGCTTCCAGATTGCTGTCGGGGTATCCCCGAGGGAGAAAATGTGCTGCAACGTTTCTGAGTTGTACTCGCTGCAGCAGTAGCAACGTGAAGGGCCGTGAACAGTTAGCTTAGCTAACACATCCGCAACAGGCAACTTGTAGTGCAGTAGACGCCATACCAAACAAGAGAACTTTATCGGTAAACCAGCTACCCACACGTGCTTGAAGACCCAAGAGACTCCAGCGTCAGACCGAAGTAGCTCAGCAGCTGAGCTAACGGTAAACCTCCCAGACTGAGTGGCAGACCAAGAAAGTTCGTCATTTGAGCCCTCCTTCCAACAGAAAAACTTGGAGCCAATCCTCTCCAGCATTTCCACCGGAAGGATCCTGGGCAATTTCCCCAAATCCCATCCACCCTCTGCCCAATAATCCGAAACCACCTCCATTCCTGCAGACTGAGGAAGTTGCCACGCTAGCGGCCCAACCCCCAACCAGTTATCCCACCAAAACAATACTTGCATGCCTACGTGTTAAGTGTTAATTTGCTTTGTTAGGGCCTTGCATCTAGTCGAGTATGCTAAATGTTATGTGCTATGTGTTTATGAGTATTTGGCATGTCTACTCGCTTTCCATAGCTATGAATGAATGTGATGGATGAATGTACGTTTCCACTAGTCCAACGCTAGTCGGAATTCATAGAATGGGCTAGTCCAACGCTAGACCCTTAGGGATTTCCCCTCGTTAGCACATATTTGCATGTTCATTACATGTCATGCATTCTTTTTAGTTTTATCATTTTGCATGCCCCTCGAACCCCTTTTCCCTCCATTTTAGGATTTTTTGCATTTCATGCTAGCTATAGGGTTCATTTGATTGAGAGTCCCCTTAAATATGGGATATAGACGAGTGTGGCTTTTTCTAAGCCTTAGCACGCTTGTATTCCCTCTATAAAAGGGCAAATTAAGTCACGATTTAGGTCTCCCCGTACCCAATATGCATGGATTCCCTAGGCTCATGCATTTTTTAATCCACTTTATCATTTTATACTTTCACTTCTCCTCTCATTTGCACACATACACCTTTATCCCTTCACTTGCACACGAACACTTCTCCTCTCATTTGCACACGTACACCTTTTTATCCCTTCACTTGCACACGAACACTTTGTCTCATTTGCACATATGCATTTTTTATCCCTTTACTTGCACACGAGCACTTTTGCCTTCATTTGCACACCTCTCATATTTTCTTTCCTTGTTTGAGCATTCCACTTGCATTATTCGTGACTTCTTCGAAGGATCGTTATTGGGCTTCACAATTAATGTGATTGGCACCACTCAACCTTTGAAGAGAAATTTCCCTCAATACCCCTAGGTCTAGGGTTTGCATTCATGTAGTGCATCCAAATGTAATGAATTCTTTGATTAAAACAAAAAAATCTTTGATTAAATCAACGCAACTAGCCTTGGCTAGGTCAAAGGGGTGCCTTGGATTTTATCCTTGCCTTCCCCTTTGTCAAATGTGACTCCCAAACCTTCTTCTTTGGTTTACGTAGACTAGGAGTCGTTTAAAAAGGGTTTCTCACTATTTTTTTCCTATTTTTCTTTAAAAATACATTTTTTAGGTGACTTGGTACACCTTAACTCATTACCAAGTGGCGACTCCGTATTTAGTTTTAAAAACCCTTTTTAAACTATAATTTTGGGTCAAATCGTCGCATTCTCAAACCCCCATTTAGACCCACTTTTCTTTTAAATCAAAATTCATTTTTTAATCACAAAAATACATTTTTTAAAGCCATTCATTTATTTATCAAAAAATGGGGCGCGACAATAATCACAAAAGATAAAAGTAAACATGAAATTGAATCAATCCAAGACATCTAAAGGAAGGTGAACAGCCCATGTAAAATTTAAAAACAAGTAGTGACTTGATTGCGAAAACTAAAGAAATCTGAGGAGTCAAATTGATTGATTTTTCAATTATTTAGGCTATAGTGAAGCAAGAGGAAACTTGAGGGGTCAAATCATTAAGATGGAAAACTACCCAGGATCCAATTACAAATGTTAAGCAATCACTCAAACCCAAATAGACATATTGGGAACTTCAAGGATCCAAAAGTAAAGAAAGAGCCAAGAAATTGCAATTACTTAGGACTCAATTGCAAGAGATCAGCACATAATTGGGCCACAATGCAACAAAGGGAGGCTTGGGGGGTCAAAATGTAAAATTCAGGATTTTTCATGCATGCATGCGAACAGATTTCTTTATTTCTGGTTCATTCCATCTGCAACATGCTAAACTTCTCGAATGCAATCTTAATATGCAACTAACATCTCATCCAATCAATCACAGCCATCGATATTAAACTAAAGGCTACCACAGAATTCAACAAACCAACAACTTAAGATGAGATAAAGTAAATTCCAGCAATTTTTCATGCAAATGTCACAATGAAAGTTTCTGCAACCGACAACATGCGTGTGCCACCTTAAGCTTTCAAAATGCAGATTTTGCACAAGACTTCAAATAAAACCAGCAAAGACCATCACTTAACATCATTTAACCTCTGGACACTTTGATTAACACAAACACAGCTGAACATGCAACAAAAGGAGCAGAAAACACCCCCCCCCAAAAGTTCATGCAACTCAGCCGAAGCTGTTATGAATACTCGCATGTACTGCTGTAACAAACTAAAACTTGTTGCAGCAAAGTTCTATGTACAAACTGCAGCAACTAAAACCACCTAATCCTAGGCAACACCAAACTCAAACATTCTCCCTATTTTCAACATAAAACTGTTGGATTTAAAACTCAGGAAAAGAAAGCGTGCAAAAACTGGACATAAAACTTCTGCAAATTTCTCGGCTTCTTGATCAAGCACAGAAAAAAACAGCACTATCCCTTTTATTAGAAGCCAAGTAATTCCAGCGCAAAAACCAATCATTCTAATGAGGTTGAAGACCGAATCTAAGACACAAATCAAAGGCATGCATCTGCAATTTGAATCAAACTGAATCCCAAACCGCAAGTATAGCAGAATATAAGCTCAGAAACATAAGGAAAACATCAAAACTCAAATTCCTTCTTAGTCTCTGGTTAAAACTTTGCAAACGCACTGAACCCAAAAGCTACACAGTCTGCTAACAAGATCACCAAACATCATCTAGGCTCTCCACTCACGGATAAAATAAAAAAAAACAAATCTTTGGCCAGAATGAAACGGGCGAAGGGGAAGGATAAAAACACAGAGACAGCCATCATGTAAAGCTAAAGGAAATGCAGCCCTAACCAAATTTCTTGCGTGTTTTTTTCTTCTCTCCTTACTCTATAACAACAAAGGACTGACCAAATCTAGACTTGTTAGGGTGCAACCCCAATCAAACTAAGAAAGAACGCAGCCTGCCTCATCACGATTACAAACCCGGCAGATGAACAAAAACTCAGGGAGAGAAATGTACCAGAGGAAAACTTAGTGTTACCTCAGTTGATGCCTCGGGAGTCGAATCACCGAGAGCGCCCTTGGATGAGCAACGCCGCAGGACCAACCAAAAACGAATTGCCTACTCTGATGGAGTTCTCGGCTTCTCACCTTCTTTCTCAACTCGCTACTCTACCTTTCCTCAGATTTTCCAGCCGTTAGTCTCCCTCACTCTCCTTTGTTTCCCTCTGTTTTCCTCACAGACCCCCCTGTTCTATCTTCCCCACGCTGCTCCCTTCTCCTTAGCTATTCTCAAACTCTCCCGTTTCCTTTTTACCCTCAGCCGCCTACCTCTCTTGTTTCTTGATTTTCTATCTCAGCCCCGCCGTCCTGCCAGATCTTTCTTTAGCCATCGTCCCCAACTCTCTCTGGTTTCTATTTCAGAAACTCTCCGTAGCCTTTTCGTTTCTCAGCTTGTTTTTCAGATTTGCAGCCGCCACTTTCAATCCTTCTTCCCTCCGCTGTTGTTTTTCTCTCAAACCATATACTCTCTCCCAGAATCTCAGCCCCCTTTTTCCCTACAATGCTTTCTGTATTTTCCGATCCTTTCCCCCCTCCTCAGAAACTCTCTCCATTTGCGGCTGCTGTCCTCTTTATCCGTACCTTTCTATTTATACTGCAGCCCCACCTTAAACCCTCAAGCATCTCTTCCATATTTGCAGCTAAGGGGCTGCTAAGAGCCCTTCCTTGCAAGCTGCAAAAACGCAGCTTGCAAGTCGCGTCTCCACCCTTTTTTTTTAAATCTTTAATTAAACAAAATTGATTGATAATAATAAAAAAAAAATCAATAACAAAAACAACTTAATTAACATTGGATAAAAATAAAAAAAAACTAGAAACAACAAAGTGCAACTTTTCATTTTTCATTTTTTTTTATTTTTCATTTTCTCATTTTTCACTTTTTCCTTTTTCTTTTTTCTTTTTTTTTTCTAAATGAACCGAGCAAAAATAAAAGATAAATTAAGTAGAAATGACTAAAATAGATAAATAAAGCCAAATAAAACAAAATTGCTCTTTTTCATGATTTTTCTTTTGCCTCTTTTTCATGATTTTTCCTTTTTGAATTAATAAATGAAATAAATGTTCGTAAACTAATTAAAATAAGAGACACGAAACAAGAATCAAATAAAAAAACCTAAAATTGAAATAAATAAATCTCAAATTAAACTAATTAAATAAGTAAAATTCGAAACCAAAAATTTGGTGTCTACAGTTTGCCCCTCTTTGTCTGAGTTTTGGAAAAACTTGAGACAAAGAAGTAGACACCAAATGCTCACCTGTGTTATTCAGCTACGAGCGTCTCGAACAATGGACGCTTTAGAAATGGGGACTGACCCCTTTTGACAAAAATTTAAAATGGGATTGACCCAAACAGAAAATTTAAAATTGGGACTGACCCGAACAGAAATTTAAAACGGGACTGACGCGAACAGGAATTTAAAATTGGGATAGACCCACGGGATAGACCCGAACAGAAATTTAAAATTGGGATAGACCCACGGGATAGACCCGAACAGAAATTTAAAACGGGACTGACCCGAACAGGAATTTAAAATTGGGATAGACCCACGGGATAGACCCGAACAGAAATTTGAAATTGGGATAGACCCACGGAATAGACCCGAACAGAAATGTAAAATTGTGATAGACCCACGGGATAGACCCGAACAGAAATTTAAAATTGCGATAGACCCACGGGATATACCCAAACAGAAACGTAAAATTGGGATAGACCCACGGGATAGACCCGAACAGAAAATACAAACGGGATAGACCCGGACAGAAATTTAAATGGGATAGACCCACGGGATAGACCCGAACAGAAATTTAAATGGGATAGACCCAGACAGAAATGTAAATGGGATAGACGCAGACAGAAATTTAAATGGGATAGACCCACGGGATAGACCCGAACAGAAAATGTAAAATGAAGAACTGTATAAGACTTGTTTGAAAAATTAT